ACGCGACGGAGCAGGAAGAGAAATATCATCAAAGCGGGTAACTTTAATGGCTGTTTTTCTTCTACTTGAGTGGATGTAGCTTCACATTGTGGCCTTCATTCAGTTGTGAAGACGACGATTTAGAAGACGACAGTGTCGTCCGCGATGCTTCCACGCGTAAACAGATCTTCGTCGGTGGCATTCCAGCAAGGACGAATTGTAAGCAGTTGAGGGATCACTTTTCACGCTACGGTACTGTGAAGAACTGCTTCGTTTCACCCCACAAACCATTCGGCTCCGTTACATTTGAAAGTGAGGAGTCGGCTCGCAAAGCCATTTCCAAACCCATACAATTTGTCTGCGGAAAAAGGGTTGAGGTGAAAGAGTATGCTGCCAAGAAGAAGTATGTCTCTCATTGCCTTTTCCTGTGCTAAATAAAAGATGTTATTTTGTGGTTGATTGTGCAAAAGACTAGTAGGTTTGATGGAAGTGTAGCCAATATATCAGACGCCTCAATTTTTCCATGAATCATCGTTGTCACATGTAGTGTGACTTGTGATTTTGTGCGGTCTTAGGCATTCCTGGTGATAAAGACAACCCACAACAACCCAATCGCTGAATCACTTAACTGTAGCTGTTGAGGATCGGAAAGGCTAACAGTCTGGATGTGGGGCAGAACACTGTAGGATAAAAGAGAAACAAACAAACGCAGCTGAGACTACTCATATGTAAAGTTAGAACAAATAAGTTAGAACAAATGCGTATATGCTATAGATAAACAGAAGGTGGCTCGTTGTGGCCTTTGAACTAATTGCAGATGGTTTGTGCACATTTTTCAGACACGGTGCCTCTAAGCCCCCATCGGTGGAGCAGTCGACAAATAGGTCGAGGACAAAGCCGCCTTCGTTACCTCCACTTGCACCTCCAGCTGCGTCGACCACAGTACCTGTATCACCTACAGATGAGCGACAAAGGGTATTCATTGGTGGCATCTCACACAAAACGACGGTGGATTCGTTGAGGGCAGCGTTATCAACGCTGGGTCCAATCAAGTCGAGCTACGTTAATTCCAAAAGAGGCTTCGCCGTAGTAGCGTTCAAACAGCCCGAGACAGCTGAACTAGCCATCTCCGCTCATTGGCATATAATTGACAATAAATTGGTGGAAATGCAACCCTTTATGCCCAATAAAATGACCAAACTTTC